GCAGTGAGGTAGGAATTAGGAAATAGTGATTGAAAAAGAGAACTGTCATTCATCACTAGTAAACAAACAGATTCCCTATACTAACATATACCACAAAATGGTTCCAGGTCAAGGGTCAAGTTCATAAGGGGCAATAGGTCAGTCAGCTCAGGCACTCACAGACAGAGGTCATGGCCCCCCAGTCATACTTCAACCTGGACAAGGGTCAAGGTCAGGGTTAGGAGGTATGTTCTGACCTCAAAATAGTTATATTTCAACTTGGAAAGTAACTAGGATACTAGGGTTGGAAAATGGGGTCACAGAAAAGTAGGCCAAACACTCACACAGTCACACTTTGATCTGGGCAGTGGTCCCCAAAGGTTCCTCCCTGCTCCTTGAAGATGATGAGGTTCCAAACAGCCAGGAACGTGTCCTCAGGAACGTGGAAGTGGAAGAGCTCGGTGTTGGCGAAGGAGCGAAATGGGCTGAGCTTGCGGGGCGAGCAGGTGGAGTAATCGGTCAGGAAAAGGCCTCCTGGGAAGCACAAGAAGTCAGCAGAAGGAGGGACACAGGCATTTCCACTCCATACAGGCAAGCCTGTGTTTCTCACCAACAGTACCAAGTCAACAAGCACACTCCACCAGCCAGGAGCTGGGCTGTGCTACCCTAGCCAGCATCTGGTTTGTTCCTCACAAAACCTTGTTCTTAAAATATTCGTATCGCAAAATGGAAAACTAAGAATTTTAACCTGGGCCTTTCATATGACTTCATGCTCACTCACTTAGGAGGCATTATTCTCCTCTCACCAGGCCTAACAAACAGGGTGTGCAAGCATGTGTGTGTGTGTGTGTGTGTGTGTGTGTGTGTGTGTGTGTTGTGGGGGTGGAGTCAGCTCTTCCTCTTAAGCCACTGAGCAAGCTAGAACTCCACCTGTGGGGCTTGGGAATCAGCACAGAACTGTGTAACTTGTTTGTTTTCTGCCCTTCTCTATTCCCCAGAGGTTAGAAGCAGTAAAAATTCTCAGAAGCTTCACAAGAGCCGTCTGTATACTAGCCCAGGGCAGAAGACCAGAGGGGGAGGTGTGGTGAGGCTGCCAGGGAGCTGCTTGGGTGGCAGAGTTGAGAACAGGAGCTGGCAGGCCACCTCGACAGTGCCCAAAAGAGGAGAGTGATCAGACCCTCTAGGGTCAAATTGAGTAGCCAGAGTTTTCTCCCAGGAGGAGGTCCTAGAACGCAGTCACTCGATGACTCAGAGGCACCCTAAATCACTTGGGAATATTTGGAGTAGACCAGACTGGGGAGGAGGTTATCTCTAGCTGAAATACTCAGATCCCTGATCACGGTTGTGAGGAGCAGAGCCAGGGTGGGCAGGAAAGCCACAGGCCCTAGCCAGAAAAGCACATTAGGGACAGGAGCGTCATAGCAATGAGGGTAACTCATAGCTCGGATGACAGAAGGTAGTTCCAAAATGCAGTGTCTCCATATAAAGCACTCTAATGGCCTCTCACTGCCCCCCTCCCCTCCATTTCAAAACAGTTCCAAAGAAGCCCAGGAA